CACACGTGCAGCAGAGCTTGGACCTCACATCAACGCCCACCAGCAAGCACCTGAGAGGAAGCAGCGAATGACAAGTTGGGCAGAAAACAGCCTGCAGACGTCAGCAATCTTTCTCGTCAGCTGGCACGACAAGCTGACAAACACAGAGGACCTGCTTAGCAAGATGGAAACTTTGCATGGACCAGAATTGTCTCCTCATCAGAGCTACCAATGAGTGCCTAAGTTGCTCATGGAAGAGGTTAACACAGACCTCCAGCCTGGGCACTGCTGCTCAGTGGGAAACAGAACACCCATCAATAGTGTGACAGGTTGATCGCATCAGATCCCTTTCCGTGTGTGTGTGTGTGTGTGTGTGTGTGTGTGTGTGTGTGTTACCAGGGATCAAACTCAGGACCTTGCCCTTGCCAGGCAGGTGCTTATGCCACTGAGCTATATCCACAGCCCACCCCTTTCCCTGTTGAGACAACACTAATCTGTCCTTACCAGAACCATTATAAATTCCAGCACAGCCAATGCAGCTAGAGTGCCTGATCTCTCCTGCCACACACCACAGTGCCCGAGAACAAGGGGTCCATTTCATGACAAGCAGTCACAGTGGTCTGCTCATGATCATAAGCGTTTCAGGTCTTACCCTCCTACTCAGAATTACTCCACTTATAGGTTGATGGAATGGCCTGTCGAAGACTCAGGAGGGCATCAGCGGGAAAGCAACCTTCATAAAAGGGGAAGTCTCCTTCCTCTGAGGTGGAATGCTTTCAGTCAATCTTCACAATAGCATAGTGCAGCCATTATAGTCCTCTCTACTCAGATCTAGGTATCAAGGACTAGAATTATGAATGGTTCTTCTCATGATGACATCCAATGACTTATTTGTGAATTCACGCATCCTTTTACCCTACTCTTGGATCTTCCAGGTTAGACAGAGGTCCTAGCTAATGGAAGGAAAAGACTTCTACCAGTTGACACCGTAATAATTCCATCAAACTGGTAGCTGCAACTACCTACCTTGGATCCTCATGCAGTGGGCCCCCAGGCAAAAGAAAGTTCCACCACCGACTAGGACACTCAGTCATGGTGACCACAAGGAGCTAGACTGGATGCTACCCATGTGGACAGGGAAGAGAACATCTCCAGCCTATGGGTGGTCTGGGACAACTCTTTGATTCTGGGGCTGTCAGCTAGTGTATAGCTGCAAGAACCAACAAGAGTAGGGAGGCTGAGGCAGGAGGGTCACTATGAGTTCAAGGCCAGCCTAGACTACAAAGCAAAACCTCTCAAAAAAAAAAAAAAAAGAAGAAGAAAGAAAGAAAGAAAGAAAGAAAGAAAGAAAGAAAGAAAGAAAAGAACCCAAAAAGACAAGGAAACTAGAGATCTATACATTTTCAGAATGAAGGCCTGAGTCACGGGGTCATCCTGTTTAGAAAATGACCCAGATGAGATGAAGTACAAACTGGTTGTGGGAACAAGCAAAGGAGAAAGGAGACAGTGAATTTCAGTTAGTGTTTGGTCCAGTTACAACTACGAAGATTGTAGAGCTTTTTTTTCAATACTAATCTTTCTACTTTAGTTTGAGAAAAACACTCTTTTCTGAGACTCAAACTCAGGGCCGTGTGCTTGCCAGGCAGGAAGAAAAACACTCTTTTTTTTTTTTTTTTTTTCCTGGAATGGGGGATTGAACTCAGGCCCTTGCACTTGCCAGGCAAGCACCTATTCTACCGAGCTATCTCCCCGGGCCTGGAAAAACAGTCTTGACCATAATCTTGAAGGGACCTGTTACTGTTTGTGTCTAGTCCTCCCAAAGCCTCGTGTAAGCAATGAGTGGCTTGAAGGGCGGGGGCCAGAGGACCAGGGCGGGCCCAAGGGGGCGGGGCCAGAGGACCAGGGCGGGCCCAAGGGGCGGGGCCAGAGGACCAGGGCGGGGCCCAAGGGGCGGGGCCAGAGAGGTGCCAACTGTTAAACTGGCCAGCTGTGCTTTCTCAGTGATGTGGAGAGGGTCATCCTGGACACGGCAGCGCCCCAGTCCATCTTCCAGTGTCTTGAAACCTCCCATAACTGTGAGCTAAATAAACCTTTCCTTCCCCTAAGCTTAAGTTTCGGGTATTTGTCCCAGCAACGAAAGAAAAGTGACTAAGACAGAATTTGAGACTCAAACTCAGGGCCTCCTGCTTGCCAGGCAGGGAGAAAAACATCATTGACCATGATCTTGAAGGGACCCCTGTAACAGAGGGGGCCTGTAGCTTTCTTCCTGGGACATAAGTAAGAAACTGAGAATAACTCTGTTTGTACACAACAAATTTAAGCCTGACAGTATAGGAACTGGATACAATGAAAGAGCTCAAGGGATGAACTGTATTGAACACAAAACTTGCATATCCCTTAAAAGTTTTAAACTTGTAGGGTCCCTTTAGTCTTAACTAACTCCTTGTTTCCAAAGGGGATGCCTGCTTCTAAGACTACCACCACCATCTTTATCCATGTCCCCACTGCCCTTTTTGTGACCAGAGCTGAAGTCCAACTGATGTCAGACTGCAGACTGTATGATCTCTACACCCCACATGTTGAGCCTATCTGTCAGAGTCACACCTCTGTCTTTTGTTTTTTGTTTTCTGTTTCTGTTTTTGTTTGGTTTTAGTTTTTTGAGACAGCCTCACTACATAGCCTAGGCTGGTTTCCAACTTGCGATGATCTTCCTGCCTCAGCCTCCTGAGTGCTGGGATGACTGGCATATGCCACCGTGCTCAGCCCCATTCCTGATTCATACCACATACTCCTACCTCTTGGGCCACGAGATCTGGTTTCCTGAGTGGACATCAAGGATGCAGAAGCTGCAGCCTCTGAGTCTGTTTCTAGGGGATGATCTTAACCAACAGGAAGTGAGAAGCAAGCGGGAGCTGGGCAGATAAGTCCCCCTCTTCTCTAGGAGTGACTTCACTTTGGACCCTGTCTGAGGAAAGCCATCATTGCTGAGGAAAAGAACCTGTCACACAACTGGCTGTCGCTTTCTGTGACTGAGTTTGATGCGACAGAGAATGTCTAAACCTGTTGTGCTGCATCCTCCCCCTTGCCCTCACCACTCTGAGCACGGGCCACCTTCCAGAACCTTGCTTCCCACCTTCTTCATCTATACTTATCTCCACAACTCAGCTTGATTCCCTCTTCTGCCATCCCAAACCCATTCCAGCACATATGTGCATGCATGTGTGTGTATACACACACACACACACACACACACACACACACACACATCAGGCCTCCGAGAGGGGCTCCCATAACACCAGCCCACACCACTAACTTGTTACAACCTTCATTTCTGTTTTAATTGCAAAGTTACTATAATAGTCAAAAATAGGTGACACTATCTTAACCACACTGTCAAAGTTTGAGACATGAGTATTGGCACAAACCAACAGAATATGAACTTGATCTAATAAACTGAGGACATCATGGTCCACTGTAGCATCTTTGCAATCTTTAACAAGCCTCTATTGGCAGGCCTGTACTCTCCTCACTCTAGGAGAAAAGCAGGAGGATTAAAATTTCAAGTCCCACCTGGGCAATTTAATTGACTTCCTGAGATCCTGTCTGTATATATATATATATATATATATATATATATATATATTTTTTTTTTTTTTTTCCTGGAACCTGGAATTGAACTCAGGCCCTTGCACTTGCCAAGCAAGCACTTATTCTACTGAGCTATCTCCCCAGCCCTACAAAATATTTTTTTAAAATGCTGTGATGTAGCTCTGTGCAAGATCCTGGGTTCAATGCTCAGTACAAAAAACAAAACAAAACAAAACAAAAACCCTCTATTGGCCTGACTCACCTGTATCTTTTTTTTTTTTTTTTTTTTTTTTTTTTTTTTTTTGTGGAACCAGGGATTGAACTCAGGTCCTTGCGCCTGCCAGGGAAGGGCTTACTCCACTGAGCCATCTCCCTGGCCCCACTTGTATCTTTTTTGATGATACTAGAGATGGAACATGGAGTCTCGCAGGTTGTAGACAAGCACTCTAGCAGTGAATATTCCCAGCCTTTTTTTTTTTTTTTTTTTCACACAAGGTCTCACTATATAGCCTAGAACTTGTCCTCCTGCCTCGGCATCCTGAGGAGCTGAGATTATAGGCGTGTGGCCCCATGCCCAGCTGCTACCTGACCTACTGAGACAGAGTCCTTTACCCTCTCTGGGTTTGCATCACCAAGAACAGCGTACACTGGATAGGCATGCGTCTTTGGCCTAAATCACAGGCACATTAGTGAAAGAAGTTTAGGACCTGGTCCGAGCTCCGCAAGCCACTTTAGGGATACTGAAAAATTCTGGTCAAGTTACTTCAATCCCCTCAGCTTCCTGGCAAGTGGGAATAATGTTCCCTGTCCTCTTTTCCAGTCTGTGAGGATCTAGTGAGAGAGAAACAGGGATTAGTGTTCTGATGCAGCAGGCAGAAACGAAGTCTAAGGAACCACCACTGATTCTACTAACAGTATCCCATAATGGCGCTGATCCTGGTGATGACCTGCTTGGTTGGAAGAAAGTCTCCTTTCCTGAAGACTGCCTGGTTTTTCCTTTATCTAGCTCCATCCTCCACTTGAAGATGGAATCCAGGCTTCCTCCTCCTCTTCAACTTGTCTCATAGATTCCATGACTTTAGAAAGTCCTCCCAGAAGTTTGAGCCACATCCTCCCTGTTGCTGCCCTGTCCCCTCTCTCCTCCCATCTCCTCAAAGCAAAATATGAAGTTTGAAACCCTGAGAGGCCCTGGACACTCCATGATGCTTATCTGGAATGGGAGAGCAGAAAAAGGATCGAGAGGGGTAAAGGTTAGACAGGAAAAGAACTTTCCAACACCTTAACCCAGACTGACACCAGCCCAGTACCACCTTCAGCTGCTGGCTTTTGGGGGCAGGCCAAGTGTCTTCTGACTTTCCGTGACGTGGGTCCTCTGCTGGGGCTGAGGCTGTGGTTGAAGCGACATTTCCTGTCCCTGGGGGCCAGGGTGAAAGGAGAGATGAGTTGCTGAGTGTGCACACCTTTCAGGCTCACAGACGCCCGCTCTGCTCTAGGCCCTTCCCAGGCTGCCCCTATGGAGATGCCCCTGGCCCAGGTAGGCCGCCAAGGTAAGTGTGAAGTTCAGGGGCGGGCGGCAGGGACCATCAAGGCCCTCAGGGCAAACTAGAGCAGGCAAAGCTGACTAGCAAGTGCCGCGACCCCTGATCCCTCCTGAGAAGCCGTATCCACTGTGCTGAGGATAAAGCCAACCTGGATTGCTGAGTGCTTCTTAGGAGAAAGGAGGGAACAAGGAGGGTGCCTGGCAGAGGACCCTGAGCCGGAAGAGGGGCCTAACCGAAGAGCTGTGCCTCTCTGTGGTGCTTCAGGGCCAGCCAGAGACAAGCCTAATTCCTAGGTTCTATTCCCTGAAGGCCCACTGACCCCCAAACCCCTCTGGCAAGGTTAGTCCCTCTGCGATACTTGGCTCCTTACTCCTCAACCTTGAGGAACCCCCCCAGCCATCCCCTCTGCACTTGTTCTGTCGTGACCATCCCGTCCTGTAGGGACCACTCCAGCCTGGGGGAGGGAAAGCGGCAGAGACAGGCAGTTCAGCCTTCTTTGTGCTAACAGGGAGTCACAAAGTCCTGGCCCCCACCTTCAGCACCTTCCAGCCTATGGACATGGCCCAGAGAAGCTGCCAAGGCCTGGGCTTGCTCCCAGAGTCCACACATCAGACCCTGAGGGCAGGGGAGCCCCAGCCCAGTTCTAGGGCCTTGGCTGCTGCCCGCACTTTGGTGAGTAGAAACCTGGGGTATAGGATGCCACCCTCATTTGCTCCTGCCCTCCCAAGAGTGCCATCATGCATATAGGCATAGGTCACCAAGGGCCTGGGGCTCCCCTTAGGGCTGGGGCTGCAGAGAGAGGAAAGGAGATGGGAGTCCCTCCTTCACAGGCCCTGGGAGCCCAGGCTAGGTCCACAGGTGGCCAGGGCATCTCTAGGTCAGTGTCTTTATCCACCCAGTGCATTCTACACCCTTCTCGGTCTTCAGAGCCTTCTCTGTGAACTGCCAAATCCTTCCTCTTCCTCATCCAGCCTCTGGGATGACTTCCTGCACCATCACGCTTCCTCCCTTGTGCTAGGGAGTGACTTTCTGCCCATCTGGAAAGCCTCACTGCCTCTCTCCTCTCTCTGCAAAAGCTCATTGGTCCTGAATTAAAAGGCCCTCCAATCCAGAGCAGAGAGGGAGGGAAGACCCTGGAAACCCAATGGCTGGAGCTAAGGAAGGGATTTAAATCAGTGACTCTGGGCAGGACTTTCTTGCTGGGCAATTCTACCCTCCAACAGAAGAGGGGATGGGTATGGAGGAGAAGGTAGAGAAGGAGACCACTCTTCAGCCTTCTTGAACCCTTCTCCTACCCAGGCATCTCCCCCAGCCCTGGGAGCTGCCTCTGTCCCAGGGAACACGGAGAAGGCTGAAGAGGTATCCGAGGAAGGCAGCCTGTCTCTGCAGACCAAGATCCGGACTTGGTTCTGGAAGACACAGGCTCACTCACTCCTGCAGTGTGGGGCAGTCCCTCCCTGGTTCCACGGCTTCATCACCCGGAGGTGAGTCACAGAGGAGGGAACAGGCCTAGCAAACTTCGGGACTGGTCCCAGGTCCTGCAGCTGGCCAGAAATCGATCCAGGCTGGGACACCAGGCTCCAGTTCCTGGGACTTCTTTTGCTTGGATGGCTTTCCTGGGGAGGGTCATTAAAAAGGCTCCATTTCCCCTCTATGGGGTCCCTTATCCTCCTATCTTTGAGGACTCTAGTCCTCCTATGTTCTTCTTTGTACCTCCTCCTCTTCTTCTCCTCCTCCTCCTTCTCTGTCTCTGCCTCTGTAACTCTTTGTCTCTGTCTCTCTGTATCTCTGTCTCTCTCTGTCTCTCTGTGTCTCTGTCTCTCTCTGTGTCTCTGTCTGTCTCTCTGTGTCTGTCTGTCTCTCTCTCTCTCTCTCTCTCTCTCTCTCTCTCTCTCTCTCTCTCTGAGAGGGTCTTGCTATGTAGTCCAGGCTAGCGTTAAACTCATGGTAACTCTCCTGCCTCAAGTGCTGGGATTATAGGCATGCACCACAGCTGGCTTTTTTTCTTCTTTGCAATGCTAAGGATTGAGGGCCGGCAGGCCCTGTTTAGGCAAGCACAGGGACCAGGTTAGATCCTAAGCAACACATGCAGCACCTGCCCCGACTCCAGGGCACACAGAGACCGGGAATGGTGGCATACTCCTATAATCCTAGTGCTGGGGAAGCTGAAAACAGAAGGATCACTACAAGTCCGAGCTACATAGTGACACCCTGTACCAAATACATTTTAAAAAGAAAAAGAAAAAGAAAACCTAAGGACTGAACCCAAGACACTTGCCAGGCAAGCAGTTACTCCACTGAGTTATCTCCCCAGCCCCTATTTTTTAATTTGAGACGATGTCAAGTCGCTAAATTGCCCAGACTGGGCTCAAACTTGCACCTCTCCTGCATCAGCCTCCTAGAGTGCAGCACCACCCCCAGCTCTCTTCCTCCATCTTTATTTCTGGCTCTATCCAGCCTGCTCTTTCTTCCAATTCTCTGTTCCACTTCTGTCTCTTTCTTCGTCTTTTCAGCCTAGCTTGTGACTTCTGAAGTCTGGAAATCCAATCACTGTCCCTAGTGCTGCTGCCCCAGCTCCTCCAGCTTTTCCAGCCAGGTTGAGGCCCTGGCGGAGCCAGGGTGAGGTCTCCAGTCCTGCAGTGGACCCTGCCTCTTGAGTAGCCTTCTGCTTTTCCATTTGGTGTGGGGACCTCATAAGAGCCAAGGAGGCAGGAGGTGAGTCTGGAAGGTCAGAGCTGGATTCTCACCCTCTCTGTCACCCACAGGGAGGCCGAGAGGCTCCTGGAGCCCCAGCCTCAGGGGCGCTACTTGGTGAGGTTCAGCGAGAGCGCCGTGACCTTTGTGCTAACCTACAGGTGAGGGCGGGGCCACCTGGACAGGGGCAGGGCTTATGTCAAGGGGCGGGGCTCGGTGCTAGTGCGGAGTCTCACTGACTGGGCTCTGAGCTCCGCCGCTGGCCGCTAGGCCAGCTTTGGGTGAGACTCTGGCGGGAGAGGGCTGCAGTGGGGGGGAAATCTGACCTCCAGTGATACCTGCAGGAGCCAGGCTTGCTGCCGTCACTTTCTGCTGGCCCAGCTCACGGACGGGCGCCACGTTGTGCTGGGCGAGAACAGCGCCCACGCACGGCTGCAGGACCTGCTGCGCCACTACACTGTGCGCCCGCTCAGCCCCTACCGGGAGACGCTCACCCAGCCCCTTGCCCGCCAGGTATGCCAGCCCCTCTTCCAGCGGACCCAGGATCACCTCCCTGGCTGCACATCTTAGTGATAAATACTGGCAGGAGCCCCTAGACGAGCCTAGCTGCACAGACCGCAGTGACGGGGATAAGCACAGACCAGCCAGGCACACCCCATGTGACCTTCACGATATGCTTACAGAGCTGGCCATGGTGGCACGCACCTGTAATCTGGAGGCTGAAGCAGGAGGATCGCTGCAAATTTGAGGCCAGACTGGGCTACATAGCGAGACCCTGGTGCGAACTGTGGATAAGACAGGACAGTCTCCTACTCACTTTCCAGCAGCAATGACCATCCAGTGATAGGGACCAAGTACAGGAGTACAGGGAGCTGACAGGGAGTGCCACCTGAACCAGTCCAGGGAGTTCGGAGAGAGCTGGTGTGCTGGCAGGCATCCTTCTGAGCACTGGGGGAACGGTGAACAAAAGTGACTGAAATATCCCAGCCCTCATGGTGCTGACGGGTAGCAACTATAGTTAGCCAATAGTTCAGAGCATGTCAGTAAAAGAAGAAAAACTAAAAATAAAGAAAAACCAAGCAGTGAATGATAGAGAGTGACAAGGTTAGGGCATCACTAAAGCATTCTGGTTAGGGTGTGTCCTAACAGAAGCCTGGCTGAAGGCAAGGCGAGGCGTGCAGGCAACTGGAGAAGCAGCGTGCTAGGCCGGAGTAACAGCAGATTACTCACAAAGTGCAAAGAGCCAGAGTTAGTGTTCCAGAACACAAGAGATCAGAGAGACCAACAGGGAAAGGAGGGTTTATTTCCAGGATTTTCAATGTACATCGACCCAACTGAACTCATATGCAAAGTGCTGGGGGCATTAGAACAAAGGAAAGGTTCTAGTTTTATACATTTGGTTCAGGGGTTGGTCTTTAGAGACGGGATACGGGTGGTTCAGAAGAAAGACAAAGCAATCAGTAATTTAGCCTTGAAAGAAGACAGGGCCTTTATGAATCCTATAAGAACAAAATGACATAAACTCTGTTTACAGGACATAGTTGCCCATCTTATCTGTACCAGAACAGGAAGTTACACCTATGGTGGGAATGGTGTTTCGAGGGGGATTGCTCTTTAAGTGCCACTTCAGTAGGAGGACATCCGACAAATAAGGAGAGCAGTGAGGAAAAGCAGCCTGGGCACGTCAGTGTGACTGTGGGCTGGAGAGGTGGAAGAGGAGATCAGAGAGGCAGGCTGGGGCTCTGGGGACTTTGTTAGGATTGCATGAGGGAAACGAGATCACACTAGAGCTACATGGGGTATCGGGGCCAGGCAAATCTGGGAAGCTTAAGGAGGGGCAGGGAGTCAACACAGCAGGAGCCTGGTCAAGGTGGAGTGAGGAGCAGGGTGCTGATCTGGCTTAAAAGGTGCATTTGGAGGGTTTTTGCATGATTGAATGAGGAATAAATATAGACTGCTGTCACCGAGACTGGGGAGGCATTAGGAGGAGCAAGCCTGGACGAACAGGAGGATGCACAGTTCACTGTCCAGCATGCGCAGTTTGAGGTATCCATTCAACATCCAGATGGGGATGTCAAGAAACAGTGGGTGCTGGGGATGCAGCTCAGTGGTGGTATTACCGACATCAGATGCAGCCTGGAGGCAGCCATTCAGGACCCCTCCTGTCTTACAGCAGCCCCAATAAATTTTCCTACTCTGAAAAACAAAAACAAGAAAGAAAACAAACAAAAAACAGATGGAGCTTGGAGCCTTAGAGAAAGGTCAAGAAGGGTCTATACCAGGGAGTGTATGTAGAAAGGAGGGGGAAGTACAGGAGCTGAGGGGAGCAAAAGCATGGGGCTGTGGAAGCCAGACAGAGAACAGGAGTCAAGGAAAAGTGAGCCAGGCACTGATCTCTGGATCTAACAGGAAGTCACTGACAACCCTGACTAGGAGCTCTAGGAAGCTGTGAACACGGTCTTTCTGTGAGGAATAGACAGGGAACCTGAAGATTTCTAAGCAGGCAGAGGAGAGTGCAGACAGGTCTAGGGGCGAGGAGAATCAGGCTGGAACTGAGAAAGCAAAAGGTGTCAGTGACCAAGGTCCAAGGCCAGGTCCCACAGGAATTAAGTTTGTTCTTAGCAGCTGGTAGGCCTGGCAAGTTGCGAGGAGTGTTCAGGTAGGAACTGCACAATGTGTCCTAAGGGATGGATTGAGTGGGAGGCCCAGATCAGTGGCAAAGGTTGAGAGAAGAGGGCAGACATGAAAAATATTTTGGTGGCTGGGCATGGTAGTGCATGCCTGTAATCCCAGCACTTAATACACTAAGGAAGGAGGGTTGCTGTGAATTTGAGGCCAGGTTGGGCTATAAAGTGAGTTTGAGGCCAGCCTGAACTTCATAGCAAATGAAAGAAGAAAGAAAGAAAGAAAGAAAGAAAGAAAGAAAGAAAGAAAGAAAGAAAGAAAGAGAAAAAAGAGAGAAAGAAAAGAGAAAGAAAGAAAGAAGAAAGAAGAAAGAAAGAAAGAAAGAAAGAAAGAAAGAAAGAAAGAAAGAAAGAAAGAAGGAAAGAAGGAAGGAAAGAAAAAAAGAAAAAGAAAGAAAGAAAGGTTAATTTAGGCAGCAGAGGGTGCAGGACTTGGGTTAGACCTGATGCAGGATCGAGGTGCGTGTGTGGAGGATTTCTATGGTGCTATTAGGGGAGCAGGGTAAACTTGCCACTTTTTTTTTCAATACTGAGAACTGAATTCCCCATCCCCCAGTGCACCCACATTTGCACTAAGTTGTATTTCCAGCTCTTTTTTATTGTGAGACAGGGTTGCCCAGGCTGGGCTTAAACTTGTGACCCTCCTGCCTCAGCCTCCCAGAGTGCAACAACTATAAACATGCACCACCACAACTATTTTGGGTTGGCATGGAAATGGGGAGGGAGCACAGAGAAGACCTGGTTTCAATCCTGGAAGTCTTCAGTGGACTGCAGGAGCATGAGAAAGGCCATGGTGCCTGGGTCAGCCAGAAGCAGAGCGCGTGGAGAGCACTGAGGCGTCAGGGCCAGTGCTGAGCTCTTGCAGGGCGCTGAGCTGGAGCTGGCTGGCTGCACAACCTTCCCACCTGGGAGCGCAGGTCTCCCACAGCACCTCTGCCCCTAAAACACTTCCCTACACCTCCATACCAAAGCTCCCCTGGCCCACAGACACAATCCTCAGGCATGAGGGCCAGGGCAACACGACACGTTCCTGCCCACAATCCTAAAGCCTCATCATCCTGAGGTTTAGCCTGCTGGAGAGCTTCCCGCCTGCTACATGTTTACAACCACAGGCACAAAGGCTGACTGACCTGGCCCTGCTTTTCTGACAAAAGGAAAGGAAGACTAAGGCAGTACCTGTGAAGACGGAGCTCACCTTTGCCCCTGTCCCCTGTCTCCTCACACATGGACCAGCCCCAGCCTCTGTGTCCCTTTCCTTCCCCTCCCCATCCTGCTTCCAAGTCAGATCCTCTGTCTTTCTGGATCAGCCTCCCCCCCAGTCCAGCCCCTGCCCCCACCCAGCCCCTCAGGTCGCCCCCTTTCCCAGCAGACTCCAGAGCCTGCAGGACTTTCCCCAAGGACTGAAGACTCAGATTCTGGAAGCAAAAGCCAGGACCTGAACCACCTGCATAAATGGAGCCTGGTCCCAATCCCAAGGCACAAAGAAAGGGCTTGGGAACCAAAGGAGGTACTGGAGTGGGAGAGGTTTGGGGGTACAGGAAAGTATCCAAAGGTGCAAAAGAGGCGGAGGCTACAGTGTGGGCCTCTGGACTAGGATGGGGCGGGGAATCCACTGCCTGGGCTACCCTGACCTCCCTCCGGCTGTACTCTCATCCAGGCCCCACCACCAAGATCCAAGCCTCCCATCCCCGCCAAGCCTGCACTGCCCGCTGAGGTCTACGCAAGACCTGCACCAAGATCCCGACTGACATTGCCACCCAGGCCGGCGCCCCCTATCTACCATGAGCCAGAAGAACCTATTGCTTTCTATGCCATGGGCTGGGGCTCCCTGGCTGAAGCGCCAGGCCACCTCTATGCAGAGCTGGATGGGTCTGAGGCATGCGGCCAGGTAAGGGGGTGCCACTGGCAGGCGGGCAGGCAGAGACAAGAGACGATGAGGTGCAACCATCCACAGCCCGCTTCGGGGCCAGGCAGAGATGACTTCTTCTCACCCCTCCAGGGTCCCCTCTGTCACACCTGCCTTTCTACTTCCAGAGAAAGTAAAGGCATAACGGTGTCTCCCTCCCTCCAATCTCACCACCTCAGCTGCACTGGAACCTGCAGCCGTCTCACCTACCCATCCTGCTCCTTGACACTGGATGGACTCCACCCCATGTTTCTATGGCTACTCTCCCTCTGCCTCCACTGCTCTACCATCCTACAGAAGGAGAGTCCTTGGGGTCCCACATGTCATCCGAGTTCATGGGAGGGAACATTGAAATCCCAGCTTCTTATGTCCACACCCTCTGTCCATCCCCACCCAGTCTTCCCTCTAACCTGTCAAGGCCTTGTTCAGGCAATGGTACTGTGCTAGGGTCAGATCCACTGGTCACTCTCACCTTCTTACCCTAGCAACCTGTACACTTCCCAACCCTCCCTCCCTGCCAACCCCTGCCTCCCTCAGCCTTTAGGCCACACTTTCACCACACCCCTGCTAACCTCTGCTATTGGGGAGCTGGGGTTGATATCAGTGTCTCAGCAGCCTACACTGCACGCACATAACCACACACACAGGCCCGCGCACACACATGGCTAAACACCTGTCACCCGTGCTTCCAAGGTGTTCCTTCCCCTGTTCTGTTTTGATAGATACCTACCCTCCAGCTATCCAGCCTGGAATCCTAGAGCTCCCTCAATATCTCTTCCCACTTCACCTCCCCCAAGCCCCCTCCGCGCTCCCAAAGCTACTAATTCCTGGATTCCTACAGCATCCCTTCCTAAACATTCCCTCCAGCTCTACCTTCCCACCCCCATTCTCTCCCCACCCGCTTTTTGAGACAGGATCTCTGTGTAGTTCAGGCTGGCCTTGAGTTCACAGTGTAGCCCAGGCTAGTCTGAAACACTGATCCTCCTGCCTCAGCCTCCTGAGTGCTAGGATTACAGGCCTGTGCCACCATGCCCAGCCCATTCTCTCTTAATCAGAGAGCTTCTTAACTGGAATCCTAACCACCAGTCTGGCCACCCTGATATTTCTGCCCTCAGAAAGTCAGACTGGCCTTTCTGAGGCAGCTGTGGGGCCCTCGGAGCTCTCCGCAGTTGGCGGGGCCCCAGCTCCTTGGCTTGCCTGCCGGCTGCTCCTATTATCCCAGGTGTGTGCTTCCGGTTTTGAGCTTCCTTCTGCCTGTAACAATTTCCTGCAGGCTCCTTCCTCCCCCTGCTCCCCCAGCAGACTTCTAACCACCCTTTAGGATCTGCTTGTCAAGAGATGAGATGTAGCTCAGTGGCAGAGCTCTTGCCCAGCATGTAAAGGTCCCAAGTGTAATTCCTAGTACCGGAAAAACAAAACAATCTGCTTGTCCTTCCGCTGTGGAAGAACTAGGTTGACCTGACCACAGACGGCACCCACTGTACCTTACACACACCTGTCATGTACTTGGTCACCTGGGACACCCATCCTTTCCATCTCTATCCTCGCCCTCCCCCTCAGGAGAGTATGAGCTCCCTGTGAGCAAGCCCTGGGACTTCTTCAGCTATCTCTAAATCACATAGCCAATGTATGGCACAGAGCTGGTAGGCAGGAATGCTTGTGGAAGAGAGAGAGGGAGGAGAGGGGTTTTACACTTTCCTCTAGAAGCCAAAGTCTGCTAAGACCAGCTGCCTCTCCCCTTGAGACTACAGGTGGGCCTGAGGCCGAGGGGAGGGGCCATGACTGAGGACTGTCCTTCTCTGCAGAATCCAGACAGTCCGCAGCTTCGTCCTGACAACTCTGTGCCTGGACAAGGCCCTCCCCTGCCCCAGAAGCCTCCAGCCCCCTGGAGGCACACTTTTCCCCCCAACCTTTCCAGAAATGTGCTTCAGGACAGAGGACAGGCATGGCTTCCCCTTGGGCCACCTCAGTAGGTGGTAAGTCTGAGTAAGAGAGAATGACTGGGGACAACAGGTGCAGAGACCTCCACACACACCTGGGTAACTTCAGGAAATAGATGGAAGAAACCACAGGCAATCAAAGCTGAAGAGGACCTCGGCCCTCATATATCACAAGGATGGCAAAAAGGTGTCATCTTGCCTGCCAACTCCAATCCATTGGTCATGGCTGCCTAGAGCGCAGCACTGAAAAGGATGTTAAGGTCACATCTGAACTCAGCAGAAAAGAGCGCTGTGATTGATTTGTGATGTCTGCTCTGGATGCAGGAGGGAGGAGGAGCACTGCTTCATCTGCCTTTACTGAACAAATCTAGCTCCCTCACTGTGCAGATAAGGAAACAAAGCTAGCGAGGCATATTGATTTGGCCAAGGTCAAGAAAAAAAACCTAAGCTTCCTGATTCCCTCGTTCAGTGCTTTGCTACTTGTCCCCCATCCTCTAACTCTTCTCCCTGGGAAACAGAAATTTTGGGAGATAGGTAATCTGCCTGTTTTCCACAGTTCTACCACTGGGGCCTTTAATGTTAGGCCTCCCTCTTGGACCCCAGTTTAGCCCTGTGCCCTTGACAGTCTGCCCCCCCACCTCCACCCCAAGAAGCCTAAAGTCAGAGGAACAAATGTGGAATCTGCCTCCTCTTAGGGACCTGTGAACTAGCTTGTTCCCAAGTCTCTGAAAATCCACTGCCTTAGTGCCAATGACCCTCTAAGGTGGCAAGATGTGTTCAAGGAGGCTCTGCCAGCCGCTGCCCTGGTTTCTCCTCCTGGAGTCTAATTTCCTTGGTCCTCTGGGCCTTTGAGTCTGGGCTCTGGTCCAATGCTGCTGTTGTCTGAGGAATGGTTTGGCGAGAACAGATGTTAGAACTTGTTTGTTGATTCTCTAATAAATCATCACCAACAACCTGCCCCCCTCTGGGATCCAAGTCCTCCAGCCTCTCTTTCTCCTCTCCTCCACCGTCTGGCATATTTCAGGTGCACTGCCACTGAGGTGGGGCAAACAGGTCTCGGGGTTGAAAGACTCCTGGGTAAGGGTCACAGACCTGTCAGCTAGGGGCTGGAAGGGACACACTGAGCTTCCTTTGCCAAGTATGCCTTTTCTATCTAGGGTAGCTGCCCCACTTGGAGGGGGCCATAAAGAAAGAGGGGTGCCCCTTTACCTTTCCCACCCCTCTACCAGGCTCAGGACAAACCTATGTGTCAGCCCTTTGGAGTATGAGGACTCTCTGAAGTGGTTCCAGGACTCCCCTGTGACTCCCTGGCCTCTTGGGCTTAGTTCTTTGCCTCACCAAGGACCTCTTTCCTTCCCCACCCTCATGTGACACTTCCTCTCCTTCTTTGCCCAGACCCCCTTCAGGGCCAGCCTCCTACCCACAGAAAAGCTCCACTCACTCAGGGGCTTCAAACAGCTGGAGGAATCTATGCTGTGTCTTACTTTTGTCTCTGACTGGGGACTCTGAGTCAACCATGCCCGGCCTGCAGGGTCCCACAGCAGGTGTGCCCCAGTCTGTTCTAGCCTGGGTTGGGCTGTGGTTTCTCTCCTCTGCATCCCCATTCCTGGAAGGGCTGAAGCAAGGCAGTACCTGTGGGGGTCTTTCTTCCTGCTCAGGGGCCCTACAACAGTCCTACAGCCCCTTTCCTCAAGCCACATCACCTAGGACTGGGCATTGCCACCACCATGTCACCCCCAGCCTGGTTCCAGTGCCAGCTTGAGTGACTCAACAGTTCCCCTCCTTCTGCTCCAGTGCTAATGAGCTTAAGGAGAAACACAGACACGCTGAGTCAACAGAGTTGGGGTTCCACTTCCTTTGTCTGTAGGTCTAAGCCCCTTGTGAGCAAAGCGGAGGATGGAAGCAGGGAGCAGATGGTTCTTCTGAAATCTGTGAGGACGCTGAAAGTGCAAGAAAGGTCTCGGGTTAAATTCAAGTCACCTGGCAATTCTTGTGGCAGGTGGAGGAGGCAGAAGTGTAGTGTCCACAGCAAGAGCTGGGATAGCAAAACCAGAAGCAGAGGACTCCCACATTGGGTGGGGTCTAACAGAATGAGCAGGTCAGGAGGGGCCAAAGGTCCCGCTCTGCTAGCTGGTGGGGCAGACAGGATTGGCATGTCAAGAGCCCTGGCTTCCTGTTGTGGCACTGTGCTAAGTAGCTGTGCAGCCACTGGCAGGAATCATTTTCATGTGTCTCTGTCCCAATTCCTCATGGAGATCAAGATTCATGCCCATGAGGGGCTGAGTACAGGAGACCATGCAGTGGAAAGGTTTGGACCGCAGGACTGCTGGGGCCAGGGGGATTTCAGTGATCCTGGGTAGTAAATTTTTCGTTCATCTCAAGGGGAAACTTTTCTAAAAGGCAGGAAGAGGAAGTGACATGGAGCCCAGGGTCCAGATCTGCCATTCCCAACCACCATTCTGGTGCCACAGAGCCCCTGGCAGTAGAAAGAAGCTACAGCCCAGCCCTGAAGACCAAAGAGGTGGGCCTCCCTGCCCCTCACAACCAGGAGCCCCCAAACCCCACCCTGCTGACTTCACTACCAAGGTGCAGCCTGGGGCTCAAGGAGACTCAGGATGGAGGAGCAATTGAGTAATTTACATAGGAAAGTTTGTCTCCCAGGAAAGTTTGTCTTTCTTTAACCTGCAAGCATTTCCCTTGGTGACTGGGAAATCCCAACCACCAAATAAAAATGCCGTCTTTGGAAGGACTAGAAAGTGACTTTTTAAAACATACAGCTTGGGGGGCCGGGGAGATGGCTCAGTGGAATAAGCGCTTCCCTGGCAAGTGCAAGGGCCTGAGTTCAATCCCTGGTTCCGCCAAAAAAGAAAAAAACATACAGCTTAGGTATCTCCCTCCTGCCTCCCCACCCGCAGCACGTCCTGCTAGCTGGACCATACAACAGTATGGGCCCTAAGATGAGAAAGCTGGGCTGCTAGATCATAGGAGGGTGGCAGCTCAGGTGGGAAGGGCCACACGCAGAGAGAGCATTCTGGATTCACAGGGATCATAGGCACACAGCCCCCAGCCACCCCACTTCCACACCCCCTCCAGAAGACCTCAACTCTGAAGATAACAGAAGGGTGGTCAAGGCTGACGATCCAGCATGAAGGCTGGCTGGACACACGGATTTGGACAGCTACAGCCTGCGTGTCTCTGTGGGCTGCAGGAGCCCTGTCTGGCTCCAACCTGAAGTAGGTCAGATTTCAGATAAGCGGGTGGTTTTCCTGTAAGTGACGAAATCCTCCAGTGGACCTAATGAGAAACAGACTCCTCAACTTACCCTAGCACACAAAAGCAGAAGCCTGGTGAGATGCCTCACTCATGCTACCTTCTTATCCCAAGTCCCACCACACGTCTCTGAACTGCCCCTCAGCCTCCCCTTGCCCATGCCACCAAGCCCACTGACACTGTTCCTCCCCGGACCCCTGCAGCAGTGGACTCCAGCACCTACATCCACATCCACAGCACCAGAGCCCTCCTATAAGCCCTGCTGAGGTCCATATCCAGCCCCTTTGGAATGGTACCAGGGGGTTCCCAGTACAGTCTGCATGCTGTCTTTGGGAGCTTTCCTACTTGAATCTTGCCATGAGAGGAAGGAATCATGCCATCTGTCCTGTCCCTCCTGTCACAGTGCCCACAGCTAACTGGAGTGTACAGACCCTGCTACCTTCCTTTCTCCTATAAAGGAAAAGGGTCTAGAAGTCTTCAGAGATGATGCCAAGCTTCCAAATGTGTCCAGACAGTAACATCAGTCTAAAAAGTTTTTCTGTTTGGTTTTGTTTGCATTTTGGTACTGGGAATCAAACTCACAACTTTGCACTGTGCCAAGGACCTATATCCCCAGTCATTTCAGTTTTCGGAGACAGGATCTTGCTGTGTATTCAGGCTGGCTTTGAACTATGTAGTCCAGGTTGGCCTCAAATTTGTGGTAATCCTCCTACCTCAGCCTCCTGAATACTGGATTACTGCTGTTTACCACCATACCTGGCCCCTTACTTTCATGTTTTGAGACTGTCTTGTAGTTCAGGCTGGCCTTGAACTCACTACTATGTAGCCCAGGTTGTCTCTGAATTCATGGCAATCCTCTTGGCTTCATCTCCCAAGTGCTGGGATTACAGGGATGCACCACCACACCCAGTTGTTTCTAAATTTTTTTCTGAGACAGGTTCTCACACTAATTCAGATTTGACCTTGAACTCACTATGTAGTCCAGGCTACATTTTGCATTTTGGTACTACTGGGAATCAAACTCACAACCTTGCACTGTGCTAAGGAGCAATATCCCCAGCCATTTCGGTTTTACTCTCTGCTCAAAGTTGTAGCAGTCCTGTCTCAGCCTCCCAAGTGCTGGGATTTATAGGGATGCACCACGATCCCTGGTGACATCAGTGTGAATGTGATTCACTTCATTTTTTGCTGGGTGTAACTGTACATCTAACAACATTGCCACGCCACAGGAAGAACTTCCTTACTTTCTGTCTCCGTAGACACTAAGGTCAGCAATACCTTCCACATTTGGGATCACATGGCCCTCCAAAAGTCACCTCACCCCAACAAAACTGTGCACACAATTTCTAGGATCTCTGATGGCCATGATCCCAGAAGAGATGGTGGATGAAAAGGAAAAGACAACGCAACCACAAGGCAGCTCAGGAGCCTTTGGGGGCCCCATACACAAGCTAGCATTGAGGGCTGCAAGGGGCAGACAGCGACTGTCAGACGGAATATTTTATTTTAACAGACATCCTTCTTTAAAAAAAAAAAAGTTGGGGGTAGAGTTCAACATTTCATCAAACCCAACAGAGGGGAAACTCCCATCCCAGAACTCAAAGCCCCTGTGGAGGCAGCACTCAAGTCTTTGCCAGCTCCATCACAGAAAGGAGCTGATTTTTCTAACTTGTTAAGAAAAATCTATCAAATATGTTCATTCTCGCAGAGGCGAGGGCTGGGTCCTCAGGGAAAGAGATCCTGGGCTCAGAGCACTGGGGGTCCCAGCAGTGAAGCTGGGGGCCAGGCCGACTGGGCTGAGGAGATCCTGGGAGCAGTCAGTTCCAGAGCCCTAGAATCCATATTTGGCTTGGGTCTGACGGCGGCTGAGCTTGTTCTCCGACCAGGTATTCTTTAGTTCCAGCTCCCGTTCTTTAGCCTGTGGTAGAAGGCAGCAAAGTGGAGTGTGAGTGTGTGTGTTTGTGTGTGTATTTCACCCAGGGCCTCAAGAATGTTCAGCAGGCCCTTCTCCACTGAGCTGAATTCCCCACCCCTTAAACTGGAGTCCCAAAAGACATTTTCTTCTTGCCTCTATGTTTTCCAATATGAATCTCTCTCTTTTCACAACTATGGAAAAATAGCAAATCCTTTACAAGATTTAGTTTTCTCTTTCCCAAGCAAAAAGGAAGACCCTATAAAGGTAATGGAAAACCATCTAACTGGGGAGTCACAGAAGTTAAACAGAAAAACCCTTGTGCTTGCTTTGGTAGAATTAAAGCTGATATGCCAAGTGAGAATCAGCAAAAGAAAACAAGAACAAGATGGTGGCATCTGAAAGGAAGGCAGATCAGTTGTCCTCAACACCCAAACGGGGGGTGGTGGGGGGACACCACACCTCCCCAGCCTTGGTCACGTCACAGCAGAGAACTACCAGTCATGGCTTAGTCTGGAGAGGCAGTGTTACTGCTGCATTGAATATAGCATTATGTGGCACTCTAGAAACCTGCAATGGTTGGTAGGTTGCTTTTTGAGGCAGGGTCTCACTATGTAGTACAGGCTGGCCTTGAACTCACAGCAATCAGCCTCCTGAGTGCTGGGATTCAGGTATGCGCCACCACTCCCAGCCAAATACATGATTTACTGCTTGTTTTTAAGGCAGGGTCTTGCTATTTAGTTCACGCTGGACTTGAACTCAATATGTAGCCAGGTTGGCCTCAAACTCACGGTGATCCTCTTGCCTCAATCTCCCAAGTGCTGGGATTACAGGCATGTGCCACCATGCCCAGCTCCCATACTGTTTTAGTCTTTCAGGTTTTTTTTTTAACAGGGATCAAACTCACAACCTTGCACTTGCCAGGCAGGTACTTGTGCTTACTACCTCCCCAGCCCTGTTTTAAAATAATAAACAAAGCTGGGAAACTGAGAGGTACTAGAATAGTGATCTTTCTCTTCTGATTGCAAAAGCTCCTGGTTCTTCACAGCATTCTAAGACCATACAAACACCAGCCTGGAAAAGAGGCTCTCTAGCCCCCAAGTTATCTGATGCTGCTCATTTCTCTTAAACTTGGAGAAGTAGATTATAGTTAAGCATCTGGGATTTAAAAGACCTTACCCTAACGTTCTCTACAAACTTTCCAAAATTGGAGAAGAGTACAAGGGAGTTCCTGCCACTGAAACCACTGACCAGAATGCAACTCCTCAGGACAAGGGCCAGGACAGTATATAATGATTAAGTGGGAAAGGTGCCCGGTAATCTCAAATACCAAGACATTTCTGGATTATTTGTAATTCTGAAATTTGTGCTGGAGAATATAAAATCAATTTCCTTATAAGGTAGATGTTTTGCTAAGTTAGTGCAACAACCTTTTCTTTAGTTATTTAAAGTACTAGATAAACTTGCTACTTAAAAACCCTATAAACCATTCTGTTTTGGGTATATGAATTTTCACTTACAGAGTTTATTCTAAACATTTGTACACAGATCTTACACCCTGTCCAAGGTTGAGGCACAGGATAATGCTAATGGACACATCTCCCCCTAGTGGCCACGCAGAGAACAGGCAAGTGCCTGCGGGTAGCCCAAACCTCAGGTTTTTGGGGATCTTGCCTGGCCAAGGCCCACAACATTCTCACCTGATGAATCAGATATGTGATCTGGTGTTTCCGCCGCTGCTGGCCTGTTGGCTGCTCACCTTTCTTCTGTAAGAAAAGAAAGCAGTCCTTAACCCACAAGGAAAAGAAACAGAGGTTTCTCACGTGCCCAACAGCACAAGCTTGGCAACTAAAAAACCAACTACACAGGCAAATCCTGAGTAGAAAATGCAGCATGACGCTAATCTTTATCTCTATATACTCACGTAACAGTTATTTTTATTAAAGCTATTATGCAAAAAAAAAAAAAAAAAACACCCAAAAAACAGTTAAGAATGCCTGCCTGAAATAGCTTGCTAACATCCCCATTAAACTGGAAATAGTCTGAGGTCAGGAGTGTACTGTTTCTTTGGTGATCCTGCTCTACCTCCCACACCAAGCTCAGGGAGGGCTCTCGCCATGACAGACAACTCAGGCTGGTTCCATGCTTGCGGTCAATCTGAAACAGTTTACCTGCTAGGCTGGTGACCTTCTGCCCTCCTTCAGGACCTCACAGCCCTATGCCCATCTGCCCCTTCAGCCTTCTTCATCTTGGCCGGCTCTCCCCATCAGGCCAGGCATCTCCTGTCTCCTAGCTACTGCTGGCCAAGCTCTCCCACCAATCACCTTGGCTGGAACCCCACCTCCCTCATTCTAGGAGAGCAAACAGCTTCCCTGCAATTCAAAATCTCACAACCCCTCTACCCTGCTAATCTTTCAGCCTCCACCTGTAACTACACTGAGCCCCTAACCAAACTCCTGATGCAAATGATTTGCTGTCAAAGTCTACATTGGCCTGGGCTTTCATTCTGTGGTTTATCTGTCCTCTGTCAGAGTTGTCTCAGGCTAGAAGCTTCCTAGCCAGCCCCACCCAACTCTCAAAGCTCCTCTCCAGAGTCTCCTCAGCACTTATGTAATCAATTTACACTGTAATCATTTATACTCAAGTGTCCTTAAATCTCTTCTTCCCAACTACACTGTCAACTGCTGAAGGATAGGGAACATATCTTTTTCTTCTTTTTTAAAAAGCTAGTTCAATACAATGAGATGATGGGAGAAAAACCTGGAGCTGGGGAAAAATGGGACTTCCAATTCCTTGCTACTACTGCATGTCATTTAACGTGACAGTAAAGATGATGCATGTAAAACATCCACTGTCATTCCCTCACCCACAGCGAGTGCTAACAGCAGCAGCTATTACTATGTGATGATGCTTCTCGACCCCCAGTTAGTAGAGCAAGCTCTCCTAAGTGGTTTTTCCAGTAAACAGTGATGGATCTATGCTGATCTAACCACAATCCTTTGCTCTGTCCTGTATGACCGCCAGCATTCAGTTAAAACAAACGACTGGGGCCCAGATGGCCATCTGTGGCCACAGAACAAAGCAAAGCGAATAGGCAGCGGGGAGTGGGGGATAAAATCCTCAACCTTGGCCTTGCTGGTGCTGGGCTCAAATCCAGGGCTTCCCCACATTCCTCTCCATGGCAGGCTCATAAATGCCCACATTTGCTGTACTCAGCTACTAGGTGAAGAGATGTTCATCACATGGGTGGAAGAAAACTAGCATAGAGGGGGCCTGCCCCTTAGCTCAGTTCTTTAAGTGGCTGCTT